ACTAAACTACACCCAAACAGCCAATCAACTACAGGTACAACTAAACTAAACTACACCCAACAGCCAATCAACTACAGTTCAACAAACTAAACTACACCCAAACAGCCAATCACTACGGTACAACTAAATCTACACCCAAACAGTAATCAGCACAGCACAACTAAACTAAACTACACCAAACAACCAATCAACTACAGTACAACTAAACTAAACTCAAAGCAATATCAACTACAATAATAAACTAAACTACACCCAAACAGCCAATCAACTACAGTACAACTAAACTAAACTACACCCAAACATCAATCACGCAGTACAGTAAACTAAACTACACCCAAACAACAATCAACTACAGTGCAACTAAACTAAACTACACCCAAACAACCAATCAACTACAGTACAACTAAACTAAACTACACCCAAACAGCCAATCATTGTACAACTAAACTACCCAAACAACCATCAACTACGGTACATCTACTTAACAACCAATCAACTACATTTCCTAAAACTACACCCAAACAACCAATCAACTACAGCACAACTAAACTAAACTACACCCAAACAACCAATCAACTACAGTACAACTAACTAAACTACACCTAACAACCAATCAACTACAAACTAAACTACACCCAAACAACCAATCAACTACAGTACCAACTAAGCTAAACTACACCCAATCAACTACGGTACAACTAAACTACACCCAAACAACCAATCAACTACAGTACAACCAAACTCTCCCAAAGCACAATCAAGCGTACAGTACAACTAAACTAAACTGCTCAGCATATCAACTACGTTACTAAACTAGCTACACCCAAACAGCCAATCAACTGCAATTTTAAATCAACTAAACTCACCCAAACAACAATCACTACAGTGCTAAATAAACCACCCCAAACAGCCAATCAACTACAGTACAACTAAACTAAACTACACACACAACCAATCAACTGCACAGTACACTAACTAAACTACACCCAAACAACCAATCAACTACAGCACAACTAAAACTACACCCAAACAGCCAATCAACTACAGTACCAACTAAACTACACCTAACAACCAATCAACTACAGTACAACTAAACTAAACCACCCAAACAACCAATCAACTACAGTACAACTAACTAAACTACACCCAAACAGCCAATCAACTACGGTACAACTAAACTACACTCAAACAACCACATCAACTACAGTACAACTAAACTAAACTACACCCAAACAACCAATCAACTACGTACAACTAAACTACACCCAAACAACCAATCAACTACAGTACAAAACCAACTACACCCAAACAACCAATCAACTACAAATTACAACTAAACTACACCCAAACAATCAACTACAGTTCAACTAAACTACACCCAAACAACCAATCAACTACAGTACAACTAAACTACACCCAAACAGCCAATCAACTACAGTCACCACTAAACTACACCCAAACAACCAATCAACTACAGTACAACTAAACTACACTAAACAACCAATCAACTACAGTACTAAACTACACCAAACAATCAACTACAGTACAACAAACTACACCCAAACAACCAATCAACTACAGTAACTAAACTAAACTCCCCAAACGCAATCAACTACAATACAACTAAACTACCCCAAACAACCAATCAACTACAGTACAACTAACTAAACTACCCAAACAATAATCAAATACAGTACAACTAAACTACACCCAAACAACCATCAACTACAGTACAACTAAACTTACACCCAAACAACCAATCAACTACAGTACAATTAAACAAACTACACAAACAACCAATCAACTACGCTGCTAACTACACCCAAACAGCCACAACTACAGCACAACTCTACTACAACCAATCACTACTCACAAATAAACTACACCCAAACAACCAATCAACTACAGTACAACTACACTAAACTACACCCAAACAACCAATCAACTACAGCACAACTAAACTACACCCAAAAAGCCAATCAACTACAGCACAACTAAACAGCCAATCAACTACAATACAAATCCAAACTACACCCAAACAACCAATCAACTACAGTACAACTAAACTACACCCAAACAACCAATCAACTACAGTACAACTAAACTACACCCAAACAATCAATCAACTACAGTACAACTAAACTACACCCAAACAACCAATCAACTACAGTACAACTAAACTACACCCAAACAAATCAACTACAGTACAACTAAACTACACCCAAACAACCAATCAACTACAGTACAACTAAACTACACCCAAACAATCAATCAACTACAGTACAACTAAACTACACCCAAACAACCAATCAACTACAGTACAACTAAACTACACCCAAACAACCAATCAACTACAGTACAACTAAACTACACCCAAACAACCAATCAACTACAGTACAACTAAACTACACCCAAACAATCAATCAACTACAGTACAACTAAACTACACCCAAACAACCAATCAACTACAGTACAACTTAACTAAACTACACCCAAACAACCAATCAACTACAACTAAACTACACTCAAACAGCCAATCAACTACAACTAAGCTACACCCAAACAGCCAATCAACTGACTAAGCTACACATAAACAACCAATCAACTACAACTAAGCTACACCCAAACAGCCAATCAACTACAACTAAGCTACACCCAAACAGCCAATCAACAACAACTAAACTACACCCAAACAGCCAATCAATTGACTAAATTACACCCAAACAGCCAATCAACTGACTAAGCTACACGGGAACAACTACAACTAAACTAATCTACACCCAAACACCCAATCAACAGACTAAGCTACAGCCAAACAATCAATTAACTACAACTAAAGGTGGTAGCACACTGGGCATTTCCTCCAAACATGTTGCCAAATTTTGCTGGCTGCTGGCTAAAGCAAGCAGCAGGATTTTGGCTGTTGCTAGAAATGGACAACGGTTTGGCGGGGATCTTTGCTGGCTGGATTAGTCGTCAGATGAGCTTCATATAATTTCAAGTAAATATTGAAATAAATCTAGAAACAATAATTATTAAAAATACAGATATAACACATAAACGGTGACTTATTTATATGTTTTCATCGCTTTAAAACTTCTTTAGTGTTATTAAATCATTATTCAGGGTCTTCTTTGACCAGCCAGCCACCGCCACTTTTAAAGAAACTTCACGACACACATATTGTCTTTTTTCTTTAGCTTTTGTAGATGCCTCACTTGCTTGAGCAATTGTAGAACTATAGCACAATCTTGCAAGGCCTCAACTGCAGTAACGAGACCCATGGTGAACCTTGACAAGACGCTTGTTGTTTTCGTTGCATTGGGCAGACGGGGCAACAAAACATCCCAGTGTAATGCAAAATGTCTCTTTTTGTTTTGCTGGCCAGACCTTGTTTGCCCAGTGTACCGCTGCCTTAAGCTACACCCAATTTTGACATCATCAACCTTTACAATTAGCTGAAGTTGATTGGTTGGTGGATGCTAAGCGAGTCGCTCACTCAGCAAACAACAACCACTTACACAGTCAAATCATCAATTGCTGTTAATTTTACAACCACAAATACTTTTACAAGGTTAGGTTAGGTTGGGTTCCTAGATTGTAAAGTGTGAGGGCTATTTGCTTTGGCTGGGTGCAGGTACTGGGACACAATGAATGAAAAAAAAATAAAAGAAGAAAACAGAAGATAACTACAGATAGTAAATGTGAACAAAAACTAGGAAAGAAAGTAATGTAAGAACAAAGAGTAAACGAAAATGAGGGAAAGAGTAAATAGAAATAAAATAAAAGTTAAATGAAAAAATAATTAATAGTGTAATAATAACAGTAGCTGGTCTTTTGTTTCTCAAAAGCACCAGTTCTTCTAAAGAATTCACGAGTGCTCAAAACACTACAAAGTTAAAGACTTGAGAATAAAAAGAAACACTGAACTACAATAAAAGACCACAAAAAGTGACAGTTCGACTTCTATCATTCACATACCGTACCCGTAAGTTTTAATACTTCCTAAACCCTGTAATTTTCCCATCACCGTACCCTGTTCAGGATCATAAGCTTTCAAAAAATAGAAGTCTTAAGTTATGAGTTAACTGGAGCCTACAAAGTAATTTATCACCTCACATTAAACCCTAAATACATTTAGTCTTTACATATATTCACTAATAGGCCAGGTACCGTAATGCACAAAATCAATTCCAATACAGTACCAAGTGTTCTTCACGCCAGCACAGAATATGGTTGTAAAATGTTGATGAAGATGATGGTCTACATTCAGTTTCCTGTTGTCTCACAATGTTGAACAGCAATATAAATTTTAAATGGTTTTGGGGTTTGTGTCCACCAAAGGCTAAGCAAATGTTCAGGTGTTAGGCATGTTCTTCAGGGTCTGGGTAATTGCTTAATTGATCCTGAACAAATTTGCATCACGGCCAATATCGATTCAAAGTTTCTCATTTTCTTCACACTTCATACCTGTTTATCATTTCTACAGCTCACCATCAGCTTAACTACCTGTAGCTGTTTAAAAGGTTCGTCTGTTCTTTGTTATGAACTTATTGTCCAGTGTAAGTAAAGGAAGAAACTGTAGTACTCCGAGAAAACCTGTCATACTGGATAACACCCTTCTCAAATGTCCCAGGCTGGGGATTCAACCCAGGACACAGTCGTTAGAGGTACAGTCGGAAACCATAATCTCTAGCCCACCTGGGTCGGTGCTGGAGGTTAGTACAGCGTCCTTTTTGGACAGCAGCCCACTCTAACTGTGTGTTGCCTCGTGATAGTTAGAGTGGGGCCCCCGTCCAGAAAGGACGCTGTACTAACCTCCAGCACCGACCCAGGTGGGCTAGAGATTATGGTTTCCGACTGTACACACATTACTACCACCAACACTTCATATTTGTTGATTTTCTATTGGGTAAAGAGAGATTTTGTCACACTGTAAAGCACTCTTCTCCAAGGGTGGAATAATTCATCAGGGTTCCAAATTTTTCAATAAAAAACTATTTTGGGCATCTTTCTTTTATTATAACTTTTTGTGGTGAAGGAATTTTGAGGTCAGGGAAGCACTATATCCAATTTTTAAGACACAAGAAATCAGATTCTGAGGTCAATTAATATTCGTTGAGATTTTAGGTGGAAATTTTTGGAATACTGTGGAGGCATTTCAACGTTGAGGCCTAAAGAGAGAAGAGTGCTTCACTCCAAGTGTCAACAGATGTGACGGTGCTGTAAGTGATCCAAAACTAATGGTAATAAACATAAATTTGTCAATTTCATGCCCCTCCAGCTGCAACTCAAGTGCAGTATTTTATTTTATTCTTTTTTTTTTTTACTTTCTTGAAGCGTGTGAGAAAGGGAATGTCATCTTGTCTGAACAGGCGACAACACCTCTCTTACACAGCCCCAAGTTTTTGTAGCCATTAAGCTTCAGCTTCCATAAAATCCACCAACTTTGATAAAAGGAGATTGTTACAGCCCACAACCAAGATTCTCAAAGGTTTGTTATGTTAACTTTCTCCCCTGATGGGTGATGTGAGGGAGCCATTAGCCAGCTCACTTTACCTACAACAAACAAACACAAACTGGCCCAAATGGCCTCAACATTGTACTGAGACAACCATAATAAAACTCACTTTCATCCCATTATAAGAGGGAGAAAATTATTATAAGAATCTTTGAGAATCTGGACACAGGAATCCAAAGATAAAAATAAGGATCTTTACAACATTCTCATTTTTGCCTTAATTTTTAATAAGAAATTTTCCAAGGCAATATTCACACTGCAAATATTTGTACAAAAATCAGAAATCCTACCATTTTTGTATTTGTTTAAATTTCATGAAGAACCTAATAAATATATCCAAGCTTCAGTTGTTTACATGACAGCTCACCTCAACACTTGTCCGATACTTGGCCCAGCATACCTCTTTATTTTAACTATCCAACTATGTCATTAAGTCATCTCAAAAACCAACCATGCCATTAAGTCGTCTCATTTATCCAACAATGTTATTTTGGTGTCATCTCTTTAACTATATAACCATGTTGTTATGTCGTCTCTTATATATCTAACCATGTCATTATGATGTCATCTCTTAACTATCCAGCCACCTTGTTATGATGTCATCTTTAAACTATCAAACCATTAATCCTCTTGCTCTATCTGGCTACTGTGGTTTACTCACTCAGCTGTTAAAACAAGTTACATAAACTTGTTTTCATGCGATGGTTTACCTGACTGTACAGATGTTTGTATAATGGTGTACTGACCGTACAGATATTTGTATAATGGCTTACTTGACCGTACAGATGTTTGTATAATGGTGTACCTGACTGTACAGATGTTTGTATAATGGTTTACTTGACCGTACAGATGTTCATATAATGGTTTACCTTGGCCATACAAATGTTTGTATAATGGTTTACCTGACTGTACAGATGTTTGTATAATGGTTTACCTGACTGTACAGATGTTTGTATAATGGTTTACCTGACTGTACAAATCTTATTTTTTTGTAACTCAGCTCACTATACAAGAAGTTCAACCCATCATGTGACAACTTGCTTTGCAAAGATTTCAATTATAAGAGAAGGAGATTGGGTAGTCCACAAACTTTAGCCAATAAGGTATTAACTGATCTATTGTCTGGGTACCATCAACTTTTGGTGTCCTAAAAAATTATTGCAAATCCCTGTGAATGACTGCTTGTTATGTGAGTCACACTGCAATTATCTTAATCCTTAACTACCAGATAAGGATTCCTTACTCTGCCCCACATGCATAAAAATGGAATGCAAAGAACAAGGAACATTCAATGATCATGGCAACTGTCCCTACGGCTAAATTTCAGTGATGATGCTTGCGGTTCAAGTGTTAACAACCAAACAACTACTACAAATTGTAGTGGTAATTAAGAACACTAAAATAGGTGAGGGCTTAGTTCAACAGGTCAAGTTAACAGTAAACCTTGTCATTATCAGTACAGTACAGTACACCCAACTGTGCCTGGTGGCCAATACCTGTATGAGGTCACCAAAACCAGAGACTTGCCTGACAGTAACTCAGCTATCAGTAAAGTAAGGCATGCATTACCTGCCATCCCTCAAGAAACCATAGAAGTTGTCATAAAACCAAGGTAGCTGTCATAAAAGCATGATAGCTGTCATAAAAGCATGGTAGCTGTCATAAAACCAAGGTTTCTATCATAAAATCATGGTAGTTGTGACAAAAATCATGGTAGCTATCATAAAAAAACAAAGCAACTTTTGTAAAACAATGGCTGTTGTCACAAAATAATGGCTGCTGTCATAAAACTATGGTAGCTGTCATAACATAATGACTGCTGTCATAAAACTATGGTAGCTGTCATAACATAATGACTGCTGTCATAAAACTATGGTAGCTGTCATAACATGACTGCTGTCATAAAACTATGGTAGCTGTCATAACATAATGACTGCTGTCATAAAACTATGGTAGCTGTCATAACATAATGACTGCTGTCATAAAACTATAGTAGCTGTCATAAACCTATAGTAGCTGTCATAAAACTATGGTAGCTGTCATAAAACTATAGTAGCTGTCATAAAACTATGGTAGCTGTCATAACATAATGACTGCTGTCATAAAACTATGGTAGCTGTCATAACATGACTGCTGTCATAAAACTATGGTAGCTGTCATAACATAATGACTGCTGTCATAAAACTATGGTAGCTGTCATAACACAATGACTGCTGGCATAAAACTATGGTAGCTGTCATAACACAATGACTGCTGTCATGAAACCATGGCAAGTATAACATGATCAAGATGGAATTAACTATCCTGAGGCCTCTGGTTAACCATAATACATATCAATAACTAATGAAACATACCTCTTTGCTAACCAGCGGTACATCATCATGACACATACCTCTTTGCTAACCACAGCTGTACATCATCATGACACATACCACTTTGCTAACCACAGCTGTACATCATGACACATACCACTTTGCTAACCACAGCTGTACATCATGACACATACCACTTTGCTAACCACAGCTGTACATCATCATGACACATACCACTTTGCTAACCACAGCTGTACATCATCATGACACATACCACTTTGCTAACCACAGCTGTACATCATGACACATACCACTTTCCTAACCAGTGGTACATCATCATGACACATACCACTTTCCTAACCACAACTGTACATCATGACACATACCACTTGGCTAACCAGCGGTACATTATCATGACACATACCACTTTGCTAACCACAGCTGTACATCATGACACATACCACTTTGCTAACCACAGCTGTACATCATGACACATACCACTTTCCTACACCAGTGGTACATCATCATGACACATACCACTTTCCTAACCACAACTGTACATCATGACACATACCACTTGGCTAACCAGCGGTACATTATCATGACACATACCACTTTGCTAACCACAGCTGTACATCATGACACATACCACTTTGCTAACCACAGTTGTACATCATCATGACACATACCACTTTGCTAACCACAGCTGTACATCATGACACATACCACTTGGCTAACCACAGCTGTACATCATGACACATACCACTTTGCTAACCACAGTTGTACATCATCATGACACATACCACTTTGCTAACCACAGCTGTACGTCATCATGACACATACCACTTTGCTAAACACAGTTGTAATCACCACTTAACAGAGGCACACACAACTTGGTTAATTCTCTTTCACGGCCAAGGTGGAACCTGCATAAAAACTTTTAAGTACTTAACAACGTACTACGTCAGAACTACACGCCCTGTGGCAGCCTTAATTTACCGACGACACTGGCATCCAAGATGAAACCCACATCACAATGTCATATATTTCCAACAATGATGTGATTCTCAGCGCTACACTGAGCATCAACCACAAGTACAGTAGTGTCTTCATTAATAGGCTCTACTGGGACAAGTATCAACCTATCACATGGTGTTATCTCAATCCTAATTTACGTCAGATAATACACACGAGGCTACAACCTGACTTGTGTATAGCTGCTCCTTGTTCAAATAAAGATAGAAGAGCGATCGATTTACGCCAATACATAGTTGTGTACAACCTATGTAGGTGTCAAATGCATTTATAATTAATACAATAAATAACTATGGTACAACTACACTGTCATTCACATAGGAAAATATTCTATTACTGAATTAGAACATTAATTTATTTATTTAGAACATAAATGATATGGACTTCTATTCATGACTTAGATGATTTTTGGATTTACTTCCCAGTACGGTACACCACCAGTCTCAGGCAGAAGTAGTTTCTTGGCACAGCAAATCACAATCTAGGAAAATATTTACTCACAAACCGATCCCGTTCCTGCAGCCGACATCTGATGCCACCTCGCCGTGGCAACTATCCCATAAACCTCAACTGGTCGTTTTAGTAGAGAAGTAGTGCGGGTTAACTGTGTGGGCAGTGAGCAGCCTCGGTCAATTGTCATGAGTTGGAAAAAACAACAAACTATTATCAAGATGCACAACAATATCCATTAATATAACTATTTTATTTCAAGCAACAAGATTTTGGTCCAACAGGGATTCACAAAAATAAGTGAGTAACCCATCCCACCCTAACACTCACCCACCCCATCCTCACACACACACACATATACACAAACGCACACACAATCACACGTCACGTTTCTAATGACAAAGATTCTATTTAGGAAGCATCCACTGGGGACCTACCCACCCTCACTACTAGTTTGGATTTTTTGTCCTCTTTTTTTATATATTTTTTTTTATTTTTATTTTGCATAGGCCAGAGTTATCATCCACCCAACAAGAAGATTCCCCTGATGTGTCGTCTGCCTCCAAGAGCTTAATATGACTCACTGAGATTGAACAGAACAATCTCAAAATTTAAACTCATATAAAACATTTATCTGAAATGACTTAGGATGACCTTTGAATGGGTCATCAAAAGAGCCAAGTTGAGCTTAAAGAATATAAATAAAACTCTTAAAAGTGAGCTCTAAGGATATTGGTCTACTAAAATCTTTATGGTTCGTGGAAGAAGACACCCGTCCTCACACAAAGTCTCGTCTTAACGTGAGATATAAAGTGTCCGCACACAATGTACTTCTGACGCAACGATTCTGGGAATGGAGGGGCTGCCGTAGCACAATTGTCCGTCTTATTTTCTTCCACTCATCGGCAAAACAGCGAGCTGCACGCTGGTATTCACAGAAACACGGAAGAGGGTTCGACCTGTGCCTCTCAGGGCACGGCCAACATCACAGTCACCTGACCGTCGTCCACCTTCAATCACAGGCGGGGATTCTACAACTCTGTCCGGTCATCAGAGTCGCCAGGGAAACATTCACCACTTGCAGGAGGAACCTTGACGTCCTCCTTCAATCACCGGTGAGAGTCTCGGGTTTCACTTCTGCCGTCGGAGTCCCGCCGGGCAGACTTCTTTCGCTTATTATATGAGACGCGGTGATATCTCGCCTGGTTGCTGCCGCCGCTGATGGATCCGGTGCCACCAACGTGAGTGACATTGGTGTTCCCGCTAGTGACGCTTTCCCCTACATACTTGCTGCCAGTGTTGCCCTTGCCACTGCGGATGTCCCCAACACCAGCTGCTGACCCTGAAAGATGTTGTGCATTATGGTCCACTCTACAATTTAACCCTTTGGATGAAACTATCAAAATCTCTCATTCTGAGCCTCATCCCCCTTGAGTATGATGGTGGGAAACTCCCCACATCTTTTTAAAAACATCTACACTGAACACTCATGAATCACAGGTTTTCTAAAAAAAATTTTGGTGGCATCTAGACTCAGGTATGTGTTGCTATCTGCCAGAGCCAGAAGATACAGAAACAGGAAGAATAACAGTCTCAGTCACTCCCACATTCTCTAGACTGCCATATGCCACCAAATAACTCTTCTTTCTCTGCACCTTCACACTATTGGCTGACACACCTCACTGTAATTGTCCTTCTACTTCACTCATCTACCTACCATTTCATTGTTCTGCCAGTCTTTTCACATCCTACCATTTAATCTGTACAGTATAAAACATTTCAGAATGTAAAGTAAGCCTACAGGGTGTCCATAAATGTGCTCTTATCTCCAATGCTTTTGAGGTTAACCAGTCTTAAATTGGATCAAGATAATCTGATTTATTACTGTATTTCAAATCCTGAAAAAGCCATAAAATTTTGCAAAACTGTAAAAGGTTATCAGTTAATAAAAACAAGTGCTAACTTTTAAAGTGGCCAAGTTGATCAACTAAAATAAAGCCTATTTGGGATATATCTTTGTACAATAAAAAAAAAAAAGTTTGTTTATCAAACTCAAATTTGATATCCTGTTTTAATATGTACTACACACAATAGGTTTGTTGACAATCTATTGCTGTGTATTGAAGTTATCATGTAATAAATAATAATGGTTGCCCCTAGTGTAACGAGGATGGCTGGTCCTAGGGCCACCTAGGCGCGAATTTGTTTAAGGTGTAGAAGCTGTCGCCAACACAACAACTACACCCCAAGTTAACGAGTTGCATGACCCAGTGTCACGGAATAGTCCAAGAAGACCGGACAGCTCACCAACTGCACTGGCTAACCATTACCCAGGAACACGATTTGCAAATCGATTAACACCCAGGTTCCCAATTACTACTGGGTAGACAGAGGCAAATGACATAAAGAAACTTGCCCATAGTTTCACCCAGCCCAGGGCTCGAACCCGGGTCCGCTCGCTTGCGAGGCGAGCATGCTGACCATTACACCACAGATCGCCATAAAGTTATCATGTGCGTACACATACACAGACTCAAACTAGCCATTCCTACATCACTCTTCAGCATAATGGTAAGCAATAATAAAACAGGAGAGGTACAATATCTAGTACAAAAAGTGAGAGCATTACGTAAGTTGGAGACACAATGCACCTTGTGATGACTGTGAGTATCTCCTGTGTTTGGGCCAGGGCTTTGCCGGGCTGCTGCCGTGTTGTACGGGGGAACTGCCGCCCTGCTGTTGGTGCGGATGCCACGCTGGCACAGCAGGGTATTCATTACGTGGCTGGCCATGTGACTGTTTATTCGTCGATGTTCCGTCCGCCGGGTGGGAAGTCGTGCGAACCTCCGTCCCGGTGCTTGGTACACGTTGTGACACGCTGCCCCCGGGTAAGGACGAGTGCTTTCCCACGCCGCCAGGGCTGACACTGGTGATATTATTTAAGGTGGATTTTGTAGCTGTTGTGGCACTGAGGTGGTGAAGTTGATGGTGGTGATGGATGTTTGGGGAGCTGTCTCTACTCCCCTCACTCATGTCCACCGCCTGGTCAGAATCCTACAAAATACATGGAACATTAACACAAACTACTGTATCACCTCTTACCAAACCTACTTTTGTTCTAAGATGAGCTAATTCAACAAGGCCTTCCCGAATATAACAATGTTGTCACTCACTTTACGTTACAGGCACTTGACAGAGCTCCCACAAAGCTCAAATGAAATTCTCGACAACAATTCAAATTACACAAATATATCTTTTATGTGAAATTTTTTTATCTCAGGTTAGGATAGGTTAAGTTGGGTAAAACAATTTATCTGCAACATATTAACTTAAGAACTAAATCTATTCTTTTAAAGTAACATTTTATCAATGATCACACAGTAAATACGTTATAGCTGTGCAACTTGTTAAGATAATCACAGTTCAGGTAACCCCAGCTTAACAGTGAGTTATTGGTTACTCTTATTTTGGCTCTCTTATTAATGTTTTCCTTATGCGTTGCATGGGTTGAGTGTAAGTACAGTACCAGTGTTTGGTTCTGGGATGACAGTAGCACTCTCAAGAACATGACACAAGGATTTATGTTGGCTGTGTTCCCTGGAAGATGGCTCTGGCGAAAAGCTACCCAGACTTCTACCTCAAGTGGATTATTATCTATGTTATTTAACTGTTTCTGTAAAAGTTGCCAGTTCAGCTGTACAAATGTAAGGTTTCTGGCCATCTTCATCATTTGGGTTGTTTGCCTCGGTGACTTCATTAATATCTTTTTGGAGAAACTTTACTCTGAGAGTCCTGCTCTTCTACCCTTGTTTATTGTCAATATTTTATTTTTATTTGTTTCATTTTTGAGTTCTGTCATACAGTAAGAACCTCCGGCTGGGAACACACTCTGATACCACAGTACATGAATTTCATTGAAAAAACTTGCTATGTAAGGTGTAGTTTCACATAATACAGTATATACTATAGCTGTTCACAGGAACCAATGTACAAGGTCAACCTAGGGTACACCTTTATCAATAATCCATACCAAATATACTGTACTGTCATAATTGGCTCAGTTAACTGGGGGTTCTCGTGCGAGAGACAGACAACGACAGGAAGTAGTACAGTAAACATCTGAACGTCAACTTACCGTGTCATCACTAACAGACGAGACAGAGGAGGGAGGTGTGGAATGCGGTTCGGATGCTTCGGATGACAACGTATCATCGTCGGCGACGCTGGACTTATTACGTGCATTATTATTGTTATTATTATTATTATTATTGTTATTATTGTTCTTGTTGGTGTTGTACTGGTTATCAGAAGTGACCTGAAGAGAGAAGTTAACATTATGTTCATCATACAGAACAAACTTGTAGCCAAAGAAACGAGATAAAATAATAATACATTAAGTGTTTCAATATAATGGGCTTGAAATAATATAACCACCATTATACAGTATATATATTCTATCACTACAAAGTAGTGTTAAGAGTCAGCTGACCTGAAGATGATTTGGAGTATGGAACGCAACAGGCGGAGTGGGCGGCGTGGCCGGGTGTGTGGGGGTCAGGTGATGGGAGTTGCTGGAGGCCATCGACCCACTGATGGGAAAAGACTTCCGTATCCATTGTCGATACAAGACGACGTCGTCCGTTATCCTCAGGATGCGGCCGAGTATGGAGTAATGATTTGGATCGTTTATGATGTTGTTTAAGGGGTTCACAGCCTGTAATATAACAATATACATATATTAAGTGTGCTCCATACACACTGAAAAACTTTACTATTATATAATTGGTAAATTTAGAAATTAATAACAATTATACTGGATATAACAAATTCCCTACAATACAGTACAGTAGTATGGCAAATAAGAATTAGACTTACCTGAGATAAAACAATATAAGCATATTCGAAAGCTTGCTTCACTTGCAACACTCCGTATGAGGATCGTCCGATATCATTGCCGGGTATGAGGGGATCTTCTATACACAAGACGGACGGTCTGTGACCCTCCGGCATGTCTCTCTGAACCTAACAACATAAAACTCGTCAAAGAAACTAGGGAAGTGAGGCAAGTGCCATGAAGACACAGCCCTACAGTATTATATACACACATGACATGACAGTAACTGGCGTGTATTCCACAAACTCACGTCAAGATCTATACTACGGTCACATACAGTCCTGCCATTGACTACCATCACATACACACAAACACACTGACAGAACACATTCATATCACTTAATTTCTATACACATAATTTTTTTCCATTTCATCAATAAAGTGCATAATCCATCACAAAAGGGAAGCTTATACAATCTCAAAAATGTGTACTGTACAGTACTAGTGCAATAACAAAAGGAATATTATTAAGTTCAAAATCACACAATATATATATATTTTTTTAACAACTCTTGATCATGACATATATTAACAATAGAACTTTTATATAGTGATCTCCGTTAGCCGGAACAATTGGTGTAAAGCACTTCTGGGAATGAGATTTCTGGGTAACGAGACGACTCTCTCAAACCCGGAAAAAACCTCATCCCCGGAATTTTCCGGGTAACGGAAAAAATTTCTCAAAAGTTCCAGAAACTGCCCATTACATCACCTCTCGAACCCAGAAAAATATCCCCCATTCCTGAAATTTTCCAGATACTGGAAAATTCTTCTAAAAATTTCCTGAAAATGGGCCTGATTTTCACCTCTCAAACCCGGAAAAAAATCCCCCATCCCTATAATTTTCTGGGTATTGGGAAAATTTTCTCGGAATTTTCCGGAAAATATGTCCCTTGAAAAATCGATCCCAAAGTTGGAATGGACCTAGTTGTCAGTTCTGAGTAAACGCAAGAAATACACTCTGCCATGTTCATAGAGTGATACGGTATACTGTATATAATTTGTAATAAAAGTTTAAGGTCCTGCTATAATAGTCGAGATATGTTTATTTCTCTAGAAACAGGGCCGCTATTTGCAATGACGTCACCACCTTCTCTGTAGACGATGTTCTCCAACAAACTCACCGCTGCAGTTGGTGGTAGTACAAAGGATGGCCTCTTCAGAACCCCAAACGCCATGTTTAGTTAAGTCTTAAGGGTGTTTTTTATGGTCTAAGTCATGGACATTTCGTAGGTGAAGAAATGTGCCATGAAGAGCAGCTTATGGACATAAAAAACTCTCATTTTCACACCAGCTCAGCTGTCATGTATTCTTGCCTGGTAGACTTTCTTTTTTTTTTTATTCATTGCATTTACAGGGTACAGTGTATCAGTACTAGATGGAGTTACGAGTCTATTTAGAAGTAATGACATTGTCTGGACTCTGTTTTGAGAATGCCTAATGCTAGGTAAACATGACAACAAAGTGCTGTTATTATGATTCACTCATGAACCATTGAGATATATCATAACTTATATTAACTAGTGGGTAAAATTTTACTTTAACTACCACAAGTATTAGGATGTTTAGATTCGAGATAGGTTATATTGGGTAAATTTCAAGTTTTGGTCATCCCTGTACTTAGACATGCAGATTATGTTTTTTTCTGATGGTTTGCAATGTGTTATGAACGATGTTGACCTTCATTTCTATCGGAAATCACTAGTTTTGAGTTACTACCCTGTACTGGTGTATGTTAAGCTAATGTTATAACTTATCATACCGTAACCTAACCCAACATATGACCTGTATTTTCTTATGCGATAGAAAAATGCCTTGCGACAGAAATTCCGTAGAGATAATGTGTCTTATTGTTTAAAGTACTTAATCCCATTGTTAGAATCTTAAGGTTCCCCAGATGACCAAAACCAAATTAATACCAATATTGTTTGGAATGTTTATACAGTACTATGAAATATGTAGTAGGGGCAGCTAATATACATTGAATTTGTGCAAAGTAAAGCACAATTAATTTTTAATATTTATTTACAGAGCCAATCAGCCGAGAAGGATGGACAACTACTTCCAAGGGTCATCAAGGCAGATGAAAGAAATTTACCCAAAGTAGATGTCTTTATGAATGTAGAGTAGTACTGTATTATTAAGAACTCCGCCAACCAGCTAGGAAGCACGTTAAATTTCATCTGTCATCTGATCATGTCAAGCCCATCCCCTGGCCATGGTCGTCCCTAGTCCTTCCACAACATTAAATATAGACATCAGTGACGACAACTTACATTTTCCAGGCATGAAATAGAGAACAGTGATGAAAACTTCCATGTTGGAGTTATCGGTCTTTAACATCATTTTGGCAGCCAGCAAGTAAATACACATAATGATACTTGTGCAGTAATTTATTTTAACCTAAAAATAAGGTATGCCTGTTTATATCAATGCCACAAGTCCTGTACTTCTGCTGGTAACAACACATACACCAAAGCTGGTTGCCTCCAGGCTCCCACTCGGCGGCTCGAGCCACCTGTGACGTCACAACCAATCACAGAGCTTTTTACAGTCATGTGACTTTTTAGCAAATTTAACCCTATTTTTTTACACTCTTTTGGCCCAATGTATTTAAAAATATCATTACCATAATGAATATAAGCATTTTCTTTACCCACTGAACTGCCATCTTACAAAAAAATTCCTACCGACAACTCGACCATTTTCCGGAAAATTCTGGCTTGGGGAACGATTTTCCGAGAAAATTTCAATTCTGGCTAACTGAAAGTTCCGGGTTTGTGGGATTCCGACTAACGGAGATATTACTGTACACATTAAAGAGGACAACTGAATGGTCAGGGTTAGGCTAGGCTAGTTAAGGCTAAGTTTGGTTACATTAACACCAATCTCCCACTCACCTCATCCTTTGAGATGTAAGCTCCGCCATCCTTGATTCTGATGCCAGTCTTCAGGTAATTGAAATGTCTGCCATACAGCTCAAAGAACTCTATCAACAAGACCCCAAGGTTAGCGTTGGGCTGTGATGCATCTAACCGCTGATGCAACTGAAACATGACAACAGTATGTGAGTGTGCCATGAAGCTGATGCTTGACAACAGATTTGATATTGGTTATAAAGCTATAATCACCACAATGATACTATAACTTCTTGGGGTGACACCTGGACCCACCTGTAGAAAGCTGACAGTCATTAGGATAAGGGAGTATGAAGATATGCCGCCGGTGAAGACCTCATTCAAGTCCCTCTGGAGGAGAAACTGTTTGAGCACCATGACTAGCTTGGGCAAGGCAGGGAAGCGGTTCTTGAACTCTTTGATGAGGCGCGCCGAGTTCACGCCGCTGCTCATGTTGAATGAGATGTCCACCTTCACGTCTGTTTCGCTGTCCGTTAATTTCACAATTGGCACCTAAAAGAAAAATTAAGTTTTTAATCCAATTTTATGTAAACACAGAAAATTTGCTTCAATCGATAACAAAAGTTACTTTCACAACCCCATTCCTATCTTCCTCCTCAAGATAAGTAGCTAACCACCCTTACAAAGTCTGTATCTAACCTGGATAATGAAAGACTCATCTATTAATGTAAAGCTCACTAAGAAAAATAGCACTACGTATACTATATACAGTACTATACAGTGGTCCCTCGGTTAACGAGCACAATCCGTTCTAAAAGGTTGTTCGTTAACCGAAAAACTCATTTACCGAAACCATTGTTTCAATGGGTTTTTGGGTAATTGGTTCCAGCTCACCGAAAATTGCCTGAATTCAACAAAAAAGGTAGAAAAGTACACTTACTTTGAGGTGTGTATGTAGAAGGCTCCTGGATGATGATGATGATGGGAATTAGAATGGGGGTGGAGGAGAAGGGAGAAGAGAAGTCACCCCATGGCACCATTTCACCCATAAAATTTTAGTTCTCTTGGTGTAATTCAAGATTATTTTCTTTAAATCAACATTGCACTGCATTATATATTGTCAATATGTAAAATAAATTTCAAAATGACCAATAATTTGCTTGCAAACGAAGTTCTTACGAACCGACCTCAACATGTTTTCGCTTGCACTGACCGGGCAACCAGCTTTAGTATCAGTCCGCCAATACATTAATCGGTTCTAGGGCTTAAATTCCTTACTATTTTAGTAAATATCAAGAAGTTTATACTATTCAATAATTTTAAAAGTTGAATATTCAATTTTTTAGTCATTTTAACAATTATTGAACATAATTGAAGGTAAAGTGACTAGTTTAATGCGCGGCATCCAGCCTCTTAACACAGCAAACAGGAGTTAGTCTCTCTCTGTTTTCACTGGAGGTAACATCTTGCTTGAGACTCTCTTCAACTAAATGCTTTTTTTCTGTGTTTCCAAGCAAATTATTGGTCATTTTGAAATATATTTTACATATTGACAATATATAATGCAGTGCAGTGTTGATTTAAAGAAAATAATCTTGAATTACACCAGAGAGCTAAAATTTTATGGGTGAAATGGCGCCATGGGGTGACTTCTCTTCCACCCCAATGCCTTCTCTTCTTCCTTCTCCACCCCCATTCTAAATCCCATCATCATCATCATCATCCAGGAGCCTTCTACATACACACCTCAAAGTAAGTGAACTTTTCTACCATTTTTGTTGAATTTAGGAAATTTTCGGTGAGCTGGAACCAATTACCCAAAAACCCATTGAAACAATGGTTTCGGTTAACGAACGACCTTCTGGAACGGATTGAGTTCGTTAACGGAGGGGTCACTGTATTATATAATAATATTTCAGATTAGGTTTGGGTAGGTTAAGTTAAGTTATGTTTTGTTAGGTTAGGTAAGCGTTTGGATGGTTAATCATCAGGTGAATAATGTGTGGGTGCTAATATTCACATGCTCTCCATTTTCACCTACATATATTGTTATTGATCTTCCAACTTTTACTTGTTTTTAAACAAGGTGGCTGGAGTCACAAACAAACAAAAAGTCTCGCTATCTTTCATTCGTGTTGTGCCGTGGTGTTCCTGTCCGTTCACGCTTCTATTCTGTTGTACTGTGATGTTCCTTTTCACAATAAGGCCTTTCATACCACAACATCACATCAATCCTCCTCAAATCAACAAATTCCAAGCTATTCATTCAGACACATCACACATAATAAATTATACAAGAGAGAGAAAAAATTGTAATAGGTATTGTCAAAGCGAGCTGTCAGTCAGTCAATTAGTTAGTCAGGCAGAAGAGGTTGGTATTCTTTGAACTACCTAATCAGACACATCTAAAACAGTCCTCAAGAGCAGCAACTTACTGAAGCTCTGTCTAGAACTTTGAGAGAGGAAGGCTCAGCTATCTTGTTGTCCAGAAGAGCTTTCTCTAAAGTGCGTAGTGGCAAGGCATCCCACTTCCCTATCACCACCAGATCAATGTCACTGGAAAAACAAAAACACAAAGTGAGTTAACTACTGTACTCTATATGTTCAATTTAAGTACAGTACTATGTTACATAAGGGTGTTGGTGGTACAGCTGTAATGCATGTATTATCCAGCGTGACCTTACCAAACAAGGCAGATTTTCTCCAAGTACTCCAGTTTCCTCTTGTACTAACACTGGATTATAAATGGTCCTAAGAAAGTAACAGAGAACAGACCAATCACCTGAATATCTAGTACAGTAAGCTGATAAGTGGTAGGAATGATAAATAAAGATACATAAGGGATAATATAGTCAACTATCATAAAAGATCAAGTGAAACTTCTTGTAGAACATGATACAGGTAATATATACACAAGATTTAAACTTTAGAATGAACATTAAATAAGAAGCTCACAATATTCTCACCTGATATCCCGTTATTATAATAACAATAAATAGTTATGATATTATTTCCCCAAAACACCATTTTCTTTACAAATAAAATCCCCAATACCATTCATGCAATTTTTTTATAAATACAAGCCAGAAAAATCAACACAGTGATAATTACAACTACAGCAGCAAGACACACATTAGACTATACTGTATACTGTACTGGCAATATTTCAACCTCAAAGTGCTCAATGCCAACCCACCAAAAATTTATTTCTCCTTTTTCTATAAACCATCATCTTTAAAGAGTATAATTTCTTCATTGAAAGAACAACGTTATCATTGTATTAGTATATGGTTCTCAGTTATGAGGTTACCTGGTAGGGAGGTAGAGGCCAGTGCGGAAGCTGCCAAAGATCTCCACCCGAGCTTGCGGCCACAAATCAACAATAACCTGCTCGATGCGCTCCACCACTCTTTTTCTCATAGTGTGTTCTTCCTCGCTGGGACACATCCATGAGTAGAAGTCCTCCATTTCTTGGTGTAGCCTGACAACACAATACACACCATCAATAATTTCATACATAAATAATACAACAAATACCTGTACACAATTAGACAGTGGTATGAGCAAAGCTTTTTGAAAGGATCGATGTAAATAATTATGGCCTATAAACTACCATACATGTAGTGGTTAAATGTATGGTTACATAGTGTTTGTAAATAAAATTATACAGGTATGTAGTTTACTAATACAGTACAATGCCTGAGGGAGTACAGTGGTCACATCTACTGTAGCTCCATCATGAAGTATTTGTACCATCAGAAACTAATACTGTGATTGTCCTAATGAGTGCGGGTGTACATGTGAGCAAAGATGATGAACACCTGTTGTATATAAATGATTCTTTCATCAACCTCAGAAGCTGACTTTATAACCATGTACTGTAGGCTTGGAAAAGAGTATAAAAATGATCATTAAGCCTTACAGTGATCTAACATTTACACAATATACTGTATATAAGTTTTAAATGACTTACCAAACAAAAATTGCTTTACTCTCGTCACAATCTGTTAAGTGTTGTTGGCCAATGTTTTTATTGAATTACACGATGAATTAAAAATGAGTCAACAGTTGCAAGAAAGGTAATCTGAATATATATTGATATAATTACCACAGCTAACTTCCACTGATGCTGGCTGCCATTTAAGGGTTAAATCTGGCAAACAATCTCAGCAACATGTTCTTCCATTGAGTTGTTCTAATATACACTACTATATATATATATATATATATATATATATATATATATATATATATATATATATATATATATATATATATATATATATATATATATATATATATATATATATATATATATATATATATATACTGAGCAAAGCTTAGTTGATAAGTACACAATAATCTATGTACTATACTAACTGAAAGAGAATATATCAAGCCATAATTATATGTTTTTTTTATTTTATTTTTTGTAATATTATACATTATGTACAAAGGCAAAACTTGACTTGAATATTTAGTATATTCAGTAATTCATTTATTATGGATTAGGTTAGGTTGTGCTAGGTCTGGGGCCAGAAGAACTAGTAGCTTTGTCAGTTTTTTCATAAAAATGTTTTTAAATCTGTTGACAGATACGGGATAGAGCCATAACCCTTAAATGGCGACCAGCATTCCTTGCATTCCAGGTTTTGCTCCTAAGTTAATTTGTAATAATGAAGAGCTCCACCAGTGGATAAAAAGACTCCTGAAGTTAGCAAGATACGGTATATTAGCTTCATGTGTTGGGTAACCTTAGAAGCTTTTGAGAAAGTATGTGGAGTCAGCCTGCAGTGGATTAAGGATGGTAATTGATGGTGGAGGTTAGTCAGCAGTGTGTGTGTGTGTGTGTGTGTCATGGGTCTGATCAGCGTGAACACAACCCTGGTTAGGTTATGACAGTATTAAAGTTTGGCAATTAAGTTTATACAAAAAATGGATCACCTGAAGATTAATCTCTCAAGTTTATTTCACCTGATGATTAAACATTCCTACCTAACCTGACCTAATCTAACCATACTTCACCTAATCTTACCTAACTTAATCTTAGATAACTACCCAGTACACTTAATCCAATCTAACAAAGCCTAATCCCACTTAACCAACCTAACACCTCCAGGTAGCATTAGGGTGTTCAATCATCAGATGAAATAAGCTGGGTGATAATCTTCAAATGTTACTTGAATTCAATACATAAAGTTACCTCTTCATCGCCCTTTTTAATTAATTTCTGTAAACTCAAGTGAAAATGCAATGTATGAACACACACACACACACACACACACACACACACACACACACACACACACACACACACACACACAGCCAGCCTCCATTACATCAAATGGTTAAGTGAGGTAGAAGTAAAAAATGTGAAAGTTTACCATCACATACATTTAACGAGTGAGCCTGACTGAACCTCTCCCTCTGAGCAATTATAAATACCTGTAATCTTACACTCAAAACTCGCTTATTTCACATCCTCGGAGCTCTACCCCATTCAAATTACCCATAGCATATACAATACTGTACTGCATATGAATTCGTTGAAGTGTGGCCAATTACCAGTTTTGTACCATGCATAATTAATGTGCTAATATTAAGTCAAATAGCTGTTGCAGTCAGTATTAAATAAACATCATCTTGAACATAATACTTCAACTATAACCTAACCTAACACGTATTACCCCATGATAGCACTAGGGTGTTTAATCATCTATTCATTGGTGGCTTAACCTTCACGTGATCCTACTGTTTGGTCAGGTTGGTTCATATCACCTGCTGTTATTCATGGTTCAGGGAGTGTTGATGAGATGGTCACGATTAATGTACAGAATTTAGACATTATTATTATAGCCAAGTTCTCTCAGATCACCTGAAGATCAGCTTCCCTCCCCAGCTTATTTCACCTGATGATTTAACATCTTAATGCTGCCTAGGGAGGGGGGGGGGTAAAGTTAGATTAAAGTTGGTAAAGCTAAGTCAGGTTAGGGTAGGTTAACTTAGGTTAGCATTAGGGTGGTTAATCTTCTGGTGAAATAAGCTGGGGATGAATCTACAGGTGATTCAAAGAAAAAACTTTTAATTTATATATAAAGTAGCAAGTAAATGATGGCTTGATATATTCTACAAATAAATACAAACCATTGCTGAACTACGTTTGATATTAGCAGCAACGAGCCACTGACTACTGGTGACCTGCAGTACATAATGTTCGGTGGTTTGTTTCTACTGAAGTCAGATGTACAGTCAACCACAGATGCCCTGACCTCACCCTGGGTCTTGTACTCGCAATTTTACCTTGCAATACTTGGTAAAGTATGGCTGTATGTAATGGTGATTCTGATTGGTGGATCTATTTTTGGCTGCATCATTGTCAGGATAAATATTAACAAACCAAAGATAGCATTTTCATACAGGTTGAGAATGCTCTATCCGAAATTCTAAAAACCGAAAACCTTCAAAATCTGTATGTTTTTTTGGAGCACCTGCAGTGGAAAATTAAAATATTCTACAAGGCCTTTTTAAAGTTTCCTCGCAATGCGTGAGTCTCGACGCGCAGCGGAGGGCTACAAGCGAGATCTAATCTACCCTAACTGGGTCAGAGTGGTGGCTGATGGTGTCAGTTGTTGTTCTGCACTTATCACAGTTAGACGTCCGCGCATTATTCATTGATTTTTGTGCCTTTCCTGTGGTTTGTCGTGTGAATATACAGTTGAAAATGTCGAAAAGACCTGCAGGAACCCCTATGGGTAACAGTGAAAAGAAAAAACGGAAGCATTTATGCTTATCCATAACACAAAAAGTGGAGTTATTGCAAAAACTTGACCGTGGTATGAATGTGAGGCAACTCATGGAGGTGTTTCGAGTTGGAACGACCACCATTTATGACCTAAAGAAAGAAAAAGACAATTTGTTAAAGTTCTATGCTGAAAGTGATGAGCAGAAGCTTATGAAAAATAGAAAAACACTGCATTAGGCAAAAAATGAAGTTCTTGAGCATATGCCACTAACAGTATACTGATCAGGAAACAGGCAAAGATTTATCATGACGAACTTAAAATTGAAGGTAACTGTGAATATTCAGCAGGCTGGTTGCAGAAAGTTAAGAAGAGGCATGGCATTAAATATTTGAAGATTTGTGGAGATAAAGCTTCTGCTCATCATGAGGCAGCAGAGAACTACATCGACAAATTTGCCAAGATCATCGCTGATGGAAATCTAAAACCAGAACAAATCTACAATGCTGACCAGACAGCATTGTTCTGGCTTTATTGTCCAAGGAAGACACTAACTACAGCTGATGGGATGGCTCCTACAGGAGTTAAGGATGTCATGGACAGACTGACTGTGCTGGGATGTGCTAATGCAGCAGGCATGCACAGTGGTAAAGTGCCCATAGACGATATGGTGAAAATGTGTGATGGACTTATTGATGGACTAGAGCAGCGTGCATTTATAACTGAACAAGAAATCATGTCAGTTTATAAGATCAGAGAGATTGTTACGACAAAAACCATCGTTAATGAGGCAGACGACGCTAGAAGAAACATTTAAGAAAGTCATCCTGCAGAGCACATCCTCATCCCTAGGCCATTAATGAATAAAGGTAAGACACAGACTGCTCTATGGTAAATTTCAGGGGCTTACTTTTCTGATGGTTCAATGTGCATCTTTTTCTTATTGTTCCATACACAAAATTATTAAAAATATTGCATTAAACTACCTGTAGGCTATATGTCTCCATATTCGGTAAATGAGATATAAATGAATTTTGTGTTTAGACTTGGGCACAGTCCTCTTTGGGTGAGGCATACAGTGTACAGGTATCCCAAAAATCCGTAATCCAAGACACATTCGGCCCCAAGGATTTCAGATTAGGAATTCTCAACCTGTAATAATAAACCAATCATCATTATTTTAGATAATGAGAAGATTCCAAATGTTCGTATACATGTACGTATTTGCTTAAATAATGAAGAAAATTTTATGTGAGAATCTTGTGGCAGCTGTGATTGTAGTTGAGCTGCCAATTCATTAATATAAATTTCTTCATTATTTAAGCAAATATACGAACATTTGAAAACATCTCGTGATCTAAAATAATGATGAATGGTTAATTATAAAATTGTTACCTTTGGTTTGTTTAATATTTATCCTGACAGTGATTCAGTCGAAAATAGATTCACCAATCACAATCACCTTTACTTTACCAAGTAATGCCAGGTAAAATTGCGAGTACGAGACCCAGGGTAGGGTCAGGGCACCTTCGGTTGACTATGCTTCAGTGATGGTTTACATAAGTATTGTAGCAAGTTACTACTGATAGCTGCATAACATAAATACAGGTCACTACAGAAGGCTACACAGCATCACTACAGATCACAGCCTGAGGTCAACATCACAGGTCACTCACCCGACAACCCCTAGGTCATAGTTGTTGGGTGATCGTCGCCACGGACAACCACCAAACTGCCCTATGAGGTTCTTGTGGTTGTGGTTGAGGCCATAGGTGCTGGCGCGGTTCTCTCGTTTCCTCTTGGTCCTGTTGTAATAACTGTTGTTTGTGTTGTTGTTGGCATTGTTTCTGTTGTTGGTCGTTTTGGTTGCGTTAGTCTGTTCCTGATTGGTGTCCTGTATGGTGAGGGGAATAAACTGGTTGTCATTGAGGTTCATGTTGTCAAGACCCTGCTGGGTGAGCCAGATCCTGGCCCACAGGTCTCTGGCCGGACCCTGTTGTTCTGGCTGGTACCACCCTATACTGGGATCCATCCAGTCTTCTGCACCCGCTGTCTTGAGAGCCTCTCTGCAGGCATCAAACACCACGTCACAGTCATAAATCGCTCTTTTTTGAGTGTTTTTTTTGGTGAAGTTTTTAATATACACAAGATGCCTTGACACCCACGTCAGGCATCAAGCACCACATCACAGTCATAGATCAGTCTTTTGTTTGGCCGGTTTTGTGAGTAGACGGGAAGAAACAGCTACTGTACTGTAAATAGACATATCTCATAATTCCTGAGTTTGAAAGGATTTTACAAAGTTTCTAACACACACACACACACATATATATATATATATATATTTATTTATATATATATATATATATTTATTTATTTATTTATATATATATATATATATATATATATATATATATATATATATATATATATATATATATATATATATATATATATATATATATATATATATATAAATATAACCAGGCAGATCACTATATTTTAGAAAAGTTTTATTGGTAGATGTTGTAGCAGAGTGAGTTCCACAGTTTCAGTGCTCCCTCCCTTTGATAAAAATGTGCATGTGCTAAAAACGAGGATCTCTCAGACCACTATAATTGGCCTGGGAGTTCCCGCAGTTAGGTTGAGTTTGGCCAGGAATTCAAAAATAATTTACTGAACACAAATAAATATGAATTATACAATTACTATGAGACCTCACCTGACATGACATAACCTAACTGGGGAAGCTCTCAGCTCTGTATACAGTAGTCTGAGAGATTCCTTCATTTTAGCAGATATACATCATTAGACAGGGAAGCACCGAGACTGGGGAAGCTGTTCAGACCACTGCACCGGCACTTCACTACAGCTATCAGTCACAGGACAGGTGTCATAGAGGGAGTACAGGCCTGTTAAATTGACACCATACACAAGAAACCTCTACACCATGGCTACAGACATTACACACGAGACACACAATGACCGTGTTATGTTTGTGTAAATGTCGACTCAATAACACACACACACACACAGTACACCCTGGTAACACACACACACAGTACACCCTGGTAACACACACACACAGTACACCCTGGTAACACACACACACAGTACACCCTGGTACCACACACAGTACACCCTGGTACCACACACACACAGTACACCCTGGTAACACACACAGTACACCCCTGGTACCACACACACACACAGCACACCCTGGTAACACACACAGTACACCCTGGTGGTACACACACACACACACACAGTACACCCTGGTAGCCATCCAACTCAGTACATCCTGGTAACACACCCACTTCAGTACACCCTAACACACACCCACTTCAGTACACCTGGTGACACACCCACTTCAGTACACCCTGGTAACACACCCACTTCAGTACACCTTGGTAACACACCCACTTCAGTACACCCTGGTAACACACCCACTTCAGCACACCCTGGTAACACACCCACTGGCAACACACCCACTTCAGTACACCCTGGCAACACACCACTTCAGTACACACACACCCACTTCAGTACACCCTGGCAACACCCCCACTTCAGTACACCCTGGTAACACACCCACTTCAGTACACCCTGGTAACACACCTTCAGTACACCTGGCCCCACTTCAGTACACCTGGTAACACCCACTTCACACCCTGCAACACACCCACTTCAGTACACCCTGGTACACACACACCCACTTCAGTAGTACACCCTGGTAACACACCCACATCAGTACACCCTGTACACCCTGGTAACACACCCACATTCAGTACACCCTGGTAACACACCCACATCAGTACACCCTGGTAACACACCCACTTCAGTACACCCTGGTAACACACCCACTTCAGTACACCCTGGTAACACACCCACATTCAGTACACCCTGGTAACACACCCACTTCAGTACACCCTGGTAACACACCCACTTCAGTACACCCTGGTAACACACCCACTTCAGTACACCCTGGTAACACACCCACATCAGTACATCTCTACACCCACACATTACATAATAGTTTTAATGGTAGACAAGATACACCTCTATAAGTGTTAATTTGTGGTTTTGTTGATACACTCTAGTACACAAAACTTCCTTACACCCAACACAATCTTACATCAGTTAACTTAGTCATATTTGTTAAGGTTTTATTAGGGTTTTTAATACACATGATACACCTGTCTCTCTACACCCTGACCTACACCGAGTCCCTCCTTATGTACAGTAACTTTCTGACTACACCGGACGATACACCCATTATATTTGTACTCCTCTAGCCTTATCCTGGCTGAGTACACTTGGTCTGGCCAGTAAAACACCCAATTAGTTGTAAAAATTGTAAGTTTTGTGGAGGTTTTTGGGGAGACACGAGACACTTGGTCCACCCTGGCCAGACACCACAAGACATGAATCGGTCATATTTCTAGTGATTTTTCTACTACACTTGAGAACACAGAGATTACACTTGTACCCATCCGGCTTTATACACCTTCCGTACACCCAATCTAACCATTAAACACAGCGTCTGAGTCATCAATGGGTATTTTTTGGGGTAGTTTTGTGAAGGTTGTGTTGGTGTAGAGGGACGACACAGCCATCACATCCCCAACACTAAACTCTGCCTGGCCACGCACGCGCAACTATGGTCCCAGGGAAAATTCCTCACACCTTATATTTATTAATAAATACGTCTATTATCGTCATAAAACTTATGAAAATCTTAAGTTTTATTTTACTATGATAATAAGTGATAAATAATGTTTTTTATTTCTGTAAATAGAGAGTTTGAATATAGTTTTTCATGCCGACATTTACAAACATTTGCCAGATCTCCGTCAAACGTGCATGAGGCGGAGACGTGGCAACACTGTCAAGAAATGTGATCTCTGCATGCAAGGCTGTACACATTCATGATGTGTACACGTACATGATGCATACACCATGTAGGCCTAAGTCACGTGTGCATTGATGTGTACATTGTACGAGTGCACTGGTAAGCACACTGTATGTGTACACAATACGTATGTAGACAATAATGTACAGTACACGCTGTAAACGCGCATTAAAGTATCTTTATGTATCTTTTACTGTGTGTGTGTGTGTGTCACAGTGGTCATATTAACATTAAAACACTGGGGTACATTTTTCACCTTGCTTTAATAATATCAATAATAATAATGATAATAACAATAACAAAAATAATAACAAATAACAACAACAATAATAATAATAATAATAATAATAATAATAATAATAATAATAATAAAAATAAACAAAAATAATAATAATAACAATAATAATAATAATAATAATAATAATAATAATAATAACAATAATAATAACAATAGTAATAAATCTAATAATAATAATAATAATAATAATAATAATAATAATAACAATAATAATAATAACAATAATAATAATAATAACAATAATAATAATAATAATAATAATAATAATAATAAAATAATAATAATAATAAATAATAACAATAATAATAATAATAATAATAATAATAATAATAATAATAACAATAATAATAAAAATTAACAGTAATAAATCTAATAATAATAATAATAATATAATAATAATAACAATAATAATAATAATAATAATAATAATAATAATAACAATAATAATAATAAACAATAATAATAATAATAATAATAATAATAATAATAACAATAATAATAATAATAATAACAATAATAATAATAATAATAATAATAACAATAATAATAATAATAATAATAATAATAATAACAATAATAATAACAACAATAGTAATAAATCTAATAATAATAATAATAATAATAATAATAATAATAATAATAATAATAATAATAATAATAATAATAACAATAATAATAATAATAATAATAATAATAATAGTAATAATAATAATAACAGATAGGCCCAGACTCACAAGGATCCTTAAAGTAAAGATATGGTAAGTTAAGACATGGTAAGTTAAGACATGGTTAGTTAAGACATGGTTAGTTAAGACATGGTTAGTTAAGACATGGTTAGTTAAGACATGGTTAGTTAAGACATGGTTAGTTAAGACATGGTTAGTTAAGACATGGTTAGTTAAGACATGGTTAGTTAAGACATGGTTAGTTAAGACATGGTTAGTTAAGACATGGTAAATTAAGACATGGTAAATATCGGATTACCTGAAAAATCTTCACCCCAGCTTATTTCACCTTGAGATTAAACACCTTAACGCTAATTTGGGTTTGGTCAGGGTTAGGATAGGTTAGGTTTGGTTCGAATAGGTTAGCTTTAGGTTCAGTTAGGTTAGCGTTAGATAAGGTTAGTGTTTGCTTTAGATTAGCACAGTAGGTTAGGTGAAATAAGGTGGGGAGAACCTAAGTATCCAATATAATGTCTTCAATTCAAACAAAATATGGCCTCGAAAGTACACTAAGACTACCATAATTACCTGAACTAACGAATCATATTAATCTTAGGAACTGTTATGAATCTTAAGTATAAATTGTAAGTGTTTATTAATTCAGAGACGTTAATGAGTCAGTCAGTCAGTTAATAATTCAGTCAGTGAATCAGTCAGTCAGTCAGTCAGTAAGTCAGCTAGTTATCAATTCAGTCAGTCGGTCAGATAGCTATTCATTCATTCAGTCATTCAGTCAGTCAGTCAGTCAGTTAGTTAGTTATTAAGACGAAAATACAGTCATATCAGTTCTAGAAAATGATGTCGCAACAGTAAAACGGTCGTAACAACAGTAATACGCTCGCAACAACAGTAAAACGGTCATATAGTACCAGAAAACAGTCGTAACAACAGTAAAACGGTCGTAACAACAGTAATACGCTCGTAACAACAGTAAAACGGTCATATAGTACCAGAAAACAGCCGTAACAACAGTAATACGCTCGCAACAACAGTAAAACGGTCATATAGTACCAGAAAACAGTCGCAACAACAGTAAAACGGTCGTAACAACAGTAATACGGTCATATAGTACCAGAAAACAGTCGTAACAACAGTAAAACGGTCATATAGTACCAGAAAACAGTCGTAACAACAGTAATACGGTCGTAACAACAGTAAAACGGTCATATAGTACCAGAAAACAGTCGTAACAACAGTAAACGGTTGTAACAACAGTAATACGGTCATATAGTACCAGAAAACAGTCGTAACAACAGTAATACGGTCGTAACAACAGTAAAACGGTCATATAGTACCAGAAACAGTCGTAACAACAGTAAACGGTCATATAGTACCAGAAAACAGTCGTAACAACAGTAATACGGTCGTAACAACAGTAAAACGGTCATATAGTACCAGAAAAACAGTCGTAACAACAGTAATACGGTCGTAACAACAGTAAACGGTCATATAGTACCAGAAAACAGTCGTAACAACAGTAATACGGTCATATAGTACCAGAAAACAGTCGTAAATAACAGTAATACGGTCATATAGTACCAGAAAACAGTCGTAAAACAGTAAAACGGTCATATAGTACAGAAACAGTCGTACAACAGTAATACGGTCGTAACAACAGTAAACGGTCATATAGTACCAGAAAACAGTCGAACAACAGTAATAGGTAAAACAGTAAAACGGTCATATAGTACCAGAAACAGTCGTAACAACAGTAATACGGTCATATAGTACAGAAAACAGTCGTAAAGTCAGAAAGTACAACAGTAATAGGTCAACAACAGTAAAACGGTCATATAGTACCAGAAAACAGTCGTAACAACAGTAATACGCTCGTAATAACAGTAAAACGGTCATATAGTACCAGAAAACAGTCATAACAACAGTAATACACCAGAAAACAGTCGTAATAACAGTATACGGTCATATAGTACCAGAAAACAGTCGTAACAACAGTAAAACGGTCGTAACAACAGTAAAACGGTCATATAGTACCAGAAAACAGTCGTAACAACAGTAATACGTCATATAGTACCAGAAAACAGTCGTAACAACAGTAAAACGGTCGTAACAACAGTAATACGGTCATATAGTACCAGAAAACAGTCGTAACAACAGTAATACGCTCGTAACAACAGTAATACGGTCATATAGTACCAGAAAACAGTCGTAACAACAGTAAAACGGCTTATAGTACCAGAAAACAGTCGTAACAACAGTAAAACGGTCGTAACAACAGTAATACGGTCATAGTACCAGAAAACAGTCTAACAACAGTTACGCTCACAACAGTAATACGGTCATATAGTACCAGAAAACAGTCGTAACAACAGTAATACGGATATAGTACCAGAAAACAGTCGTAACAACAGTAAAACGGTCATATAGTACCAGAAACAGTCGTAACAACAGTAATACGGTCGTAACAACAGTAGTCATATAGACCAGAAAACAGTCGTAACAACAGTAATACGCTGTAAAACAGTAAAACGGTCATATAGTACCAGAAAACAGTCGTAACAACAGTAATACGGTCATATAGTACCAGAAAACAGTCGTAACAACAGTAATACGGTCGTAAATAACAGTAAAACGGTCATATAGTACCAGAAAACAGTCGTAACAACAGTAATACGGTCGTAACAACAGTAATACGGTCGTAACAACAGTAAAACGGTCATATAGTACCAGAAAACAGTCGTAACAACAGTAATACGGTTGTAACAACAGTAAAACGGTCATATAGTACCAGAAAACAGTCGTAACAACAGTAAAACGGTCATATAGTACCAGAAACAGTCGTAACAACAGTAAAACGGTCATAGTACCAGAAAACAGTCGTAACAACAGTAATACGGTCGTAACAACAGTAAAACGGTCATATAGTACCAGAAAACAGTCGTAACAACAGTAATACGCTCGTAACAACAGTAAAACGGTCATATAGTACCAGAAAACAGTCGTAACAACAGTAAACGGTCATATAAAAACAGTGTAAAACAGTAATACGGTATGTACAGATGAAAACAGTAATCAGTCGAAAAGAATACGGTCATATAGTACCAGAAAACAGTCAAAACAGTAATACGGTCGAAAACAGTAAACGGTCATATAGTACCAGAAAACAGTCGTAACAACAGTAATACGGTCGTAACAACAGTAATACGGTCATATAGTACCAGAAAACAGTCGTAACTACAGTAAAACAGTCATAATAGTGCCAGGAAACAGTGGCAGTAACAGTAGGAAGGTAGTAACAGTTAACAGTCCAGGTAGTACAGCCTAGTGTAGGGCTGAACACTAGGGAGTTGACGCACTCTTGAAGGAGCGGCACACCGTTGTAACAGTAGTAGTACCTGTTGGGGAGAGAGAGAGTGTAATAAGTGTACATGTACTACTCAAGGAAATCTCAAATATACGTGACTAAACATGTATGTATGTATGTATGTTTTTTTTATCTATCTATCTATATCTCGCATTGAAAGTTCCCCTCAATGAACTAACACGCGAATCATTTTTACTTGCGTTCGTAACAAGGAGAAACAGTTGTGTTATTGCGTTAGTTGGGGGATCGGTGGTAGATGCGGTACCGTTCTTGCCTCGCAAGCGAGATGTCACGGGTTCGATTCCCGGGCCGGTGGAAGTTGTTTGGACTTACTTCCTAGCCCCCATTAGTCCTTGTTCACCGAGCAGTAAAGTAGGTACCTGTTGTAAATCGAAAATTGCGAATTCGTATTCAGGGAAAGTTGTTGGAGCTTCCAATAACTTGATGACATAAACCATTGACTCTTCAGGCTTCTATGCCCTAACTCATGAGACATAAAGGCAAGCATGAACTTAGCATGCTTCGTTGGGCACTGTAAACGCTTCTGCGCTTCACCTACACAAGGATGTAGGGAGTGCCCAATAAAAAAAAAAAAAAAATTGCGTTAGTTAGACCAGACGGGAGATTACGTGGGTCAGTTTTTGGTCACGGTACTAAAGAATGGATATTGAGTCACCAGTGAGCATTCAGAAGAGAGAGAGAGAGAGAGAGAGAGAGAGAGAGAGAGAGGGGAGAGAGAGAGAGAGAGAGTCTTAGACTACTAAATCAGGACAACTTTAGGTTTAGGAAGGAATTATATAAGCAATGGTTGGGAAAACGAGTTGTGGAGGAATGGAAGATCATCGTTAACTCGTGAGGAAGTTTCACATATACGTTGTGTGGGACAGGAGCCATAATGGTTGGGTGTAAATAGTGTTGTTCTAATTTGGGTCAATTGAGATACTAAAGTTTTTTCCATGTTTATGTTCTTGTGTTAATCAACCTTAGCCACACTTAAGCAAATTGAATGTAAACTAAATCTAACTTAACCTAACTTAACGTAGCTAAACCTAACTTGACGTAACTAAACTTAAATCTAACTTAACCCGTAGCTAAATATAACTTAACGTAACTAAAAATAAACTGTCACCTAACCTACTGTAACTTAGAGTAAATTAACGCAACTATAAATAACTTAAAGTAAACTTAGCCAAATATAACCAAACTTAAGTAACTTTTTCAACTGTGTCAACTTACTGTTTACATTTCCCCGGTACTGGATTTTTTCTGTTGGCTTTACACTCTGGGAGCCCGGCTGTTGTTGTAATGGTGGTAGTTGATTCTGGGGTGGATGTGGTTGATTCTGGGGTGGTGGTTGATTCTGGGGTGGATGTGGTTGATTCTGGGGTTGTGGTTGATTCTGGGTGGTGGTTGATTCTGTTGTGGTGGTTGATTCTGGGGTGTGGTTGATTCTGGGGTGGATGTGGTTGATTCTGTTGTGGTGGTTGATTCTGGGGTGATGGTTGATTCTGTTGGTGGTGGTTGATTCTGGGGTGGTGGTTGATTCTGGGGTGGTGGTTGATTCTGGGGGTGTGGTTGATTCTGTTGTGGTGGTTGAGTCTGGGGTGGTGGTTGATTCTGGGGTGGTGGTTGATTCTGTTGTGGTGGTTGATTCTGGGGTGGTGGTTGATTCTGGGGTGGATGTGGTTGATTCTGTTGTGGTGGTTGATTCTGGGGTGGTGGTTGATTCTGGGTGGTGGTTGATTCGGGTGGATGTGGTTGATTCTGTTGTGGTGGTTGATTCTGTTGAGGTGGTTGATTCTGGGGTGGTGGTTGATTCTGGGTGGTGGTTGATTCTGGGTGGTGGTTGATTCTGGGGTGGTGGTTGATTCTGGGTGGTGGTTGATTCTGGGGTGGTGGTTGATTCTGTTGTGGTGGTTGATTCTGGGGTGGTTGTTGATTCTGGGGTGGTGGTTGATTCTGGGGTGGTGGTTGAGCCGAGTGGTGGATGATCTCGGGGTTGGGTTGACTCACAAGAGTAAGTATACTGTCTATCATCACAAGGTTGATAGAGGGACACTGGACCTGGCCCGTGTTCTCTTCACATATGTTAGTGGCAGAGTTGAACACCAAGTTCTCGTTAGGACAACAGATAGGGCCGGCTATTGTAGTAGAGGAACACACGTGGAAGGCATTACACATTACGGGATCCATGACGGCAGAAGCATCACCTGGACATTTAGGTGTGTCTGGAAGCTGGATGCCTGTCTTGGCAACACACATCTGTTTAGTGCTGTCGTACACAGTGTCTTTGTCAGTACACTTTTTAAGGTTAGATGCTGTGTACTTGCCGTCGTCACGAGCTGTACAGGCGTAGTGGCTGGTACATGAAGGCAGCAACGGGAAGAAGCCAATCTGAAGGAGAAAACATCACTCTTATTATACAATTTTCTTCATGATAAATAACATTATTTATCACTGTAGTAATAAGTTGTAGTTGAGAGCCAGGGTCTACAGCCTCTAATGTACACAACTTGTTGACTAAGATAAAACAGAAACAACTTAAAAAACCTTTAATATTACACTAAAACTCTATCTTAAGTACTTATTTTTATTTGATATTAACAAACCAGTAGAAATTATACCTAGATGGTCCGTCCTTCATAACGTTCTTCAGTAGTGTCCCCGAGATATGCGAGAGACTGTCAGCTGACCGAGTACGTCCATAAGAGAACCACCAGACTGGTGCCTGCACTTAGGGACCTCTCGTACCAGGAGAAGTTAGAACGATTTCAGCTGCCTAGTTTATACTATAGACGGATTAGGGATGATTTAAAACAGGTTTATAAGCTTCTCAAAGGACAGTACTTAGTCAGATGTTCATGTCTGGAGGTGGCAAATGGTCGCCCCACTAGAGGTTAAAGAAGCTACAAGCATAGAAAGCTGTCAGAGCTAACCTTCTGGGGGTAAAAGTTGTGAACTCTTGTGACACACACTCACCTCAGTACAGGTCCCTGAGACACTCTTGTGACACACACTCACCTCAGTACAGGTCCCTGAAACACTCTTGTGACACACACTCACCTCAGTACAGGTCCTTGAGACACTCTTGTGACACACACTCACCTCAGTACAGGTCCTGAGACACTCTGTGACACACACTCACCTCAGTACAGGTCCTGAAACACTCTTGTGACACACACCACCTCAGCAGGTCTGAAACACTCTTGTGACACACACTCAGTACAGGTCCTGAGACACTGTGGGTCTGAGACACCTTGACACACACTCACCTCAGTACAGGTCCTGAGACACTCTTGTGACACACACTCACCTCAGTACAGGTCCCTGAGACACCTTTTGACACACACTCACCTCAGCACAGGTCCCTTGAGACACTCTTGTGACACACACTCACCTCAGTACAGGTCCCTGAGACACTCTTGTGACACACACCACCTCAGTACAGGTCCCTGAGACACTTGTGACACACACTCACCTCAGTACAGGTCCTTGAGACACTCTTAGACACACTACCCAGCAGGTCCCTGAGACACTCTTGTGACACACTCACCTCAGTACAGGTCCCTGAGACACTTGTGACACACACTCACCTCAGTACAGGTCCCTGAAACACTCTTGTGACACACACTCACCTCAGTACAGGTCCCTGAGACACTCTTGTGACACACACTCACCTCAGTACAGGTCCCTGAAACACTCTTGTGACACACACTCACCTCAGTACAGGTCCTTGAGACACTCTTGTGACACACACTCACCTCAGTACAGGTCCCTGAGACACTCTTGTGACACACACTCACCTCAGTACAGGTCCCTGAAACACTCTTGTGACACACACTCACCTCAGTACAGGTCCCAGAGACACTCTTGTGACACACACTCACCTCAGTACAGGTCGCTGCAGCACAGGTCTTGGAAGCGTCGTCATATAATTCATTGTCGCCGCAGGTCAGCTCAGTCAGCTCGTTCTCCGCCACACACAGGTAGTACTTCTGGGAGTCGTAGGGGTCGGCCAGGTTTGAGGTAGCCGAACATTGACATTTTTCGGCCTGGTCCACGGCTTTACAAAACTTAGTACCATCACACACCTACATCCGCCATATTGAAGCACCAGTACACAGCCATGTTGATCACCAGTACACAGCCATATTGAAGCACCAGTACACAGCCATGTTGGATCACCAGTACACAGCCATGTTGGATCACCAGTACACAGCCATATTGAAGCACCAGTACACAGCCATGTTGGATCACCAGTACACAGCCATATTGAAGCACCAGTACACAGCCATGTTGGATCACCAGTACACAGCCATATTGAAGCACCAGTACACAGCCATGTTGGATCACCAGGTAGGATATGAAAGAAGACAATATTTAGCGTCAGTAGAGATAAGAGATTATTAACTGTGTTTGTATCAATCATATATAACTGTTAACAGCTTGGAACACTAATCAGTCACACAGCTGGAACTCTAACAGTCACACAGCTGCAACACTAACCGTCACACAGCTGCAACACTAACAGTCACACAGCTGGAACACTAACGGTCACACAGCTGCAACACTAACAGTCACACAGCTGGAACACTAACAGTCACACAGCTGGAGCACTAACAGTCACACAGCTGCAACACTAACAGTCACACAGCTGGAACACTAACAGTCACACAGCTGGAACACTAAGAGTCACACAGCTGAACACTAAGAGTCACACAGCTGGAACACTAACAGTCACACAGCTGAACACTAACAGTCACACAGCTGGAACACTAACAGTCACACAGCTGGAAAAACTAACAGTCACACAACTGGAACACTAACAGTCACACAACTGGAACACTAACAGTCACACAGCTGGAACACTAACAGTCACACAGCTGGAACACTAACAGTCACACAGCTGAACACTAACAGTCACACAGCTGAACACTAACAGTCACACAGCTGAACACTAACAGTCACACAGCTGGAACACTAACAGTCACACAGCTGGAACACTAACAGTCACACAATGGGAACACAAACAGTCACACAACTGAACACTAACAGTCACACAGCTGGAACACTAACAGTCACACAGCTGGAGCACTAACAGTCACACAACTGGAACACTAACAGTCACACAGCTGAACACAACAGTCACACAGCTGGAACACTAACAGTCACACAGCGGAACACTAACAGTCACACAACTGGAACACTAAGAGTCACACAGCTGGAACACTAGCGGTCACACAGCTGCAACACTAACAGTCACACAGCTGGAACACTAGCGGTCACACAAGCTGCAACACAAACAGTCACACAGCTGGAACACAAACAGTCACACAGCTGCAACACTAACAGTCACACAGCTGGAACACTAGCGGTCACACAGCTGCAACACTAACAGTCACACAGCTGGAACACTAGCGGTCACACAGCTGCAACACTAACAGTCACACAGCTGCAACACAAACAGTCACACAACTGGAACACTAGCGGTCACACAGCTGCAACACTAACAGTCACACAGCTGGAACACTAACCGTCACACAGCTGCAACACTAACAGTCACACAGCTGGAACACTAACAGTCACACAGCTGGAACACTAACACAGTCACACAACTGGAACACTAACAGTCACACAGCTGGAACACTAACAGTCACACAGCTGGAACACTAAGAGAGACACACTTGGCCATCGGGACAATTAAATTCCATTAACATCTTTCCACCGGAGCAGGAGGCGAAGGAGGTGCAACTGGAACACTGAAAACCATCTCCTTCGCACTCATAGACAGCGGCCACCAGTCTTCCAGTCACCACAAACTGGAAAAAGATGCATTCATGAACATTTTATTCTTTTATCATTATTGGGGGAAGTAAATGAAGCGCCCTTTTCCTTCATCTTGTAAAAAAAACAACATAATCCACACATTTAATATAGTTCTACATTCATTCTCCTATCTCCAACAGTTTCCCGTTATAGGGATGTTTTCACCTACAGTTATCAGCCTATAACAACATCTACTCACAAATGCTTCCTCTAATACTCACAAAAATAGATTATGTATTTGAATAAAGGAAACCAAAAAGTTCTGTTCATAAAGTTAAAGATATAAAGAAAATGGCTCTATTTTCAAAAACAGAAAATGGTAGTCAGCAACAGGCTATTGAAAGGCTAACTGAAGAAGAATGAATGAGGGCCTTGCTGGACTAAGATTGTCATTGATACGTAGAAAAGGTTACTGTCTAATGTTAAAAGAATTTTGTATCATAGTAGGAACTGAGAGACTGAAGGGTATTAGTAAGGAGGGCATTTAATACTTAAAATGCAAGAAGAAAAGGCTAATGTCTGGAAAATGAATATGGTGCTATACCACAAGATAGATCACTAGACTTAAGTAAAGGAGACTGAGGACGAGGGAACTAGCGGAATGATCAATAAGAGAGAGACTGCTGAGGGTTGTCAGCAGCTGACGCCAACAAATCATGGCGCTGAGAACTCTTGGCGAGACGCTTCTGGGGAGTTAGTTACTGTACTTGTGGTGAGTCGTGAACCGCTGAGGAAGAAAAGACAGTCATTAGATATTTATATATATATATATATATATATATATATATATATATATATATATATAAATTAATTTATATTTATTCAGTCAACAAGTTCAGATTAATTCAGCATTTATATAGTGTTGTGACGGCACTGAATGTGAACTGCCAAGAGAGTTGTGCAACGAGTTTGCCGAGCCCCTGAAGATCCTGTTTTGTAAATGCCTGGATGAAAAAAAGGGTCCCCGGTGAATGGAAAGTGGCTTATGTGAGTCCTATCTTCAAGAAGGGCGATCGCCACTCCACGAACAACTATAGACTGGTGAGCCTGACCAGCATAATATGTAAAGTACTTGAGAGTATTATCAGAGATGCTGCAATGGAACATCTACTACGAAACAACCTTGTAAAGGATTGCCAACACGGTTTTATACCGGGTCGCTCCTGCTTAACACAATTGCTCAAGGTATTGGATATTTGGACCCATATTCTGGAACAGGGTGGTAATATCGACAATATATACCTAGATTTTGCCAAGGCTTTCGACAGTGTACCCCACGAAAGGCTGAAAATCAAACTGGAAGGGTACGGAATTCGGGAAAATGTCCGAGCGTGGATAGCAGACTTTCTACATGACCGCAAGCAGTGTGGTGATTAATAGCACGAAATCATCATTTGTTCCTGTCATAAGCGGGGTACCGCAGGGCAGTGTATTGGGCCCGCTGTTGTTTGTTTGTTTCACAAATGACATGCCTGACGTTGTACACTCCTCCATTCAAATGTTTGCCAATGACGCCAGGTTATTTCGGGAAATCAAGAACCACGAGGACTGTGAAGAGCTGCAGAAGGATCTCTGTGAGCTCCAAGAATGGTCGAAGAAATGGCTGCTGAGATTCAATGTCACTAAGTGTAAGCGGCTGCACTCGGCGTACCAACGGTAAGGAGGCGTATCATATGCCCCAACGGGATGAAGAAACTGCACTATTGGAGACTGAATGTGAGAAGGACCTACAGTAGGTGTGTATGTTGACAATGAGCTGAAGTTCCGGCCATTGCGAGAAGAAGGTAAATCAGGCAAATAAATTATTGTGTCTTATAAGAAGGTCGTTCAGATATCTAGACGGTCCGTCCCTCGTAACGATCTTCAAGAGCGAAGTGCTTCCCCATCTGGAGTATTGTCACCCCGTCTGGTCCCCGAGATATGCTAGGGACTGTCAGTTGGTTGAAAATGTTCAAAGAAGGGCCACCAGACTGGTGCCTGCACTTCGGCACCTCAACTACCTTGACAGATTGGAGCGCCTGAACTTGCCTAGCTTATACTACAGACGGGCAAGGGGCGACCTAATTAAGGTGTATAGCTTCTCAAGGGGCACTTCTCAGTCGAGTGTCCTTACTTGGAGCTGGCGGACGGTCGCCCCACACGGGTCACAGCTCAAGGGAAGAAGCCGCAGGTCCAGAAAACTGTGAGAGCAAACTTTTTCGGAGCGATGCCGTCTTTCCTGAAATTATGCAAGGTTACGAAAAGCGCGAAGGACGATATGTTGCTGTGCGGGGGCTATGTTG